CATCGAAGCCGAAAGGTGTGGGCATCGAGGACTGTCTAGACACAAATGAGCTTCCAACTGGATAGGGAAAGGTGTTCATGCCGCGTGACATTAGAGGAATCTGAAAAAATATTGAAATATTAGAGTTGCTGTTGAGAGACCGTAGTCTTCCCTGTGTGTAATTATTTTAAATGAGGGAGCATTTACTAAAATATATGAAATTATATCAAAATTTTGAAGACTTTAGTAAACAATATTTATCAAGAATGTTAGTGCCGTAAGGAATATCTATCTATCTTAACTAATTTCAACTTGGATATGTAAAGTTGTCTTTTATGCTGAAACGTGAAAGATAAAGCTGTTATAAGTTGTATAATCATCATCTTTAATTTCTATATCATATTCAAATATTTTTGAAGAACTCTATAGTGTCTGAGCTTCTAAAAGTCACTAAAGGGAATATCCGTATTCCATGCTCACCATGGTTTTGTTTTGTTCTAAGCAATTAAGAGTCGAGTATGAATCGTGTATTACAAGTATAGCCAAGGAAATATTTTGGTTGTTTTCCCAATATTGCCTATGATACAAGTATTTGGCAGAGTCCAACTAAACAACTAAACACTTATCGCAGCTCTCTCCTGTTAATAATAAATAATTCAACTAGTTCTCAGTCAGTCCTAAAGCCGTTTAGCTATGGGTACAATATCAGCTCATCTGGTGATATCACATCTCATAAATAACATTTGTGGCAAGGAAATACTTCCTTTCTAAGTAAAATACTTTCCCTAAGTCCACACATTACCCAAATATTGTAGAATATGACAAACCTATGCCTTGGCTCACATTCTTCTACAATTATAGGTAGTTGAAGACACTCTTAGATTGTTATTTTACTTACCATATCGTCATCATTTGGTCCACTGCTAATGGGAAATCCCCTCGATGAGTGTGACATTGAACCAGGCACCGGGAAGGGAATGGGTGAGTTGCGGAATCCCTGAAAACACACCCAGTATATTAGCTTGCTGGCTTAGCTCTACCATAGTGTAGTATTACAAACCGTATGAATAGTGCTGGGTCCAAAGTTTGGACGAAAACCTGTATAGGGTGGTTGCATTGAGCTGGGGATGGGATATGGCCTGGGTACGGGGCGCAGACCAGGCTGATAACCAAAAGGTTGATTGAATCTGGGATCACTATCAGGAATATTCTGACGATTTTCGTTGTTATTTCCACTATATTTGGTCTCTTTAAAAAAACTTTGACTGGCTGATGAGCTTTCATCGGAGGGACCGCCAATACGACGCGCCTCCGCTGTTGAGGCCTACAAAATAGACGTAGCTTTAGGTGTTGCTTTTAAATATTATAGCTCTTTAAAATATTACCACAGCGAATTCCTCGTCAGTGCCACCTGCTGCTGTCGCATCCTGTCAAGAGAGAGGGTTATACATCAAGCTGATGAACTTGGTTTAGTAAGAGAGAACAACGAGAGTTAACGAGAACAACAAGAGATAACGCAACAGTCCCGCAAGCCCGACAGTGAAATACCCTGTACCTAGACAAACTTCTGGAACTGAGTTACATTGTATATGCGCCCATAGTAGAAGCAAATTATGGGCTGTATTCAGGAAATTCTCTTGTCATGCTGATTAAGAATATGTAAACTTTATCTGATCGGAGATGCTTCCTTCTCTCTCGGTTGCACAAACACTAATAAGCCCTTTTAGCCCTTCTGCTACAGGGTATAAAACGAAGTATCTTGGCGTCTAGTTAGGCGGGCGACCCTGCTATTCACCCTTCGAAGTGCTGAAATTGATGGAAGTTCGATCATTTTTGTGTTGAAGAATAGTACGTCTTTGGCGGCTTGTATTCATCAATTCTCCAACAACTTCCGGCATACCAATTGTTGTACATAATTCAGGTTCTTTAAATCATAAATACACGACAGGACCAGTTTTTGCAAAGAAGCAGGACATCATTTGCCAGAAAATACTTCTACAACAAAGAGCCTAAGCAGTCTCCAACACAGCCCAATCCTTAGTTCAGAAATTTCCGAAGATGCCTCTACCTCACAGTATCTCACATGACAATCTTCCATTATCAACTTATACGCAGCATCTATTGCTTCCGTTTTTGAACGACCTTCACAATATTCTTCCTGAAGACAACGACGTCCACGGTTGAGTTCACTGTACTTCCGCAGTGGCCAAGTGGCCAAAGGACCTCTGTTCAATTTCAGATAATCTTTTCAAGTGACTTCATACGCTTCAAATATTTGTATGCAAAAAACCAAGCTTCATGGCATCTACGTAATACTAATCCTACTTACCAGCGGGTCTTCGTCAACGGCCTGCATCGTAGCATTTATCGACTGGAACTTATCGATTGGTATGTTCCGTGTATCGCGTGCGACCCGTAGATGCTGCAGATATACATGGGTAGTTGAAGGGTTTCGGGGTTGAATATAACTGCGTTTGGACTCACCTTGCTGGTGTTAGGAAACACAGATGTTCTGCCACCGCACTGTGTACAGTGAAATGCAATTAATTATGATTAGTTTAAAGTTGAGACCTTTCTCGACTCACCGCCCCTTTGGCCAACAGCAGCGCGCTCAGTAAAGCAATAGTTTGAGTCCAGCACGGCGTCATCTTTGAGGTTTCGGCAGAGTATTAGTTCTAAACTAGACAGCGGTTTTCAGCGTTCTGTGAGCTTGTGCGGCCTGGTAGCTGTAATTAAAGCCAAGCGCATCGCATTTTAACACGTTTGACGGGAAATACGATGTGTTCCAAGTGCATTGACGCCCGGGGTTATCAATTGCGATTGATTATATGGAATGGTGGGAAAGCCGCGCTCACGACTTGCAAATCAATAAAGTACTAGATGCATGTAGGTGTACATATTAAATATATTTGATTTTATTTTTCAAGACTACAATTAGATGACTTATTAACGTCCATAGCCGTAGGGTGAACCATAAGCACGCGGTGGACTGGGATAACTGGGCAAGAAAGGCCGATGGGGCACTATAGCGACTGGGGGATAACCGTAGCTAATTTTGGGAAAGCTATCGAGTTCCGGCATCTTGGGTTTGCTTTCTTCATCACTTTTGTCCGACGGCTTGCTGTCAGCTTCGTCCTCATCTTCATGGGAATGGGGGCCAGGGAAGTGAGGAGCAAAGCCCAGACCAGGTCCAAAGCCGCGCCCGAAATACGGACTACGATGATGGTGGTGAAGGAAATAGTTTGGTGGCTGCGGGTATGGAGAGAAGTGAGGATTCACCGATGGGTAAGGTGGGTAACCAGGCTGAGCAGACGTGGGCGTAGAATCGCCAGATTTCGACTCCGGCACTTCCGGCGTGGGCTTTGGATATGGCTGGTTCAGTAAGTGGGGATACGGATATGTAAACGGCGTGTGAAGGTGTGGGTAGGGATGGGGGTGTGGGTGTGGATGCGGCTCGTGCTTCTGCGGTGGCTTCTCTGTAGTTGTAGTTGTTGTTGTGGTAGTTGTTGTTGATGTTGTTGTTGTTGTTGGCTCTGGCATAGTAGTTTCCTCCGCAATCTTGACATTATTTGTTAGTGCCAGTCCATCATCCGCTGAATCCAAATCGTCAGTGGGGTTCTTGGCCGTCCCCTGCTCCACAACAGCTATTTCCGGCAGCACTGTAGTCTTCTCTGTAGAATGCGGATTCCACATATCCGAGTCATCCAATGTGTGTTCTTCGCTGTAGACGGAGGCATCACCTGCCAAGCTGAGCGCCAACAACTGTAGGAGAAAGACAATTGAGTCAAGGCCTAGAAAGTCCCCAGAAGCCACCATTCTCACCTGGCTAAGTAATACAAGTTTCATAAACATTGTAGCTTCAACTCTCTTCAACCTTTCAAAGCAAACTGATTGCCGGCTAATGAGCAAGCAAGCGCTTTTATAGCCGTCATATACTACGAGTATTCGTACAAAGCGAGCAGCGTCCAGAATATGTAAATCAGCAAACCGCCAATTAAAGATTATTTCTACAAATCAAATCACATGCTTATACACATATACAAGTATACTATACGACGCGAACAGCTCATTGTTGCGACGAAAACCCCGCTTGAAGATAATGTATTGGGGCAGTGTGCGTAATGCACAGCATCTGGGAATTTCTACCAGCATTGACATTGACATTAAATTGGACCAAGAACGTGCGGCAAACCTGTTGCCAGCACCATAGCCCATGCAATGGTAATAAAACTTAATGGCTGCCCAAATCGATTTTGTTCGTAGAGCATGTCCAGCGATGGCTATAAAAGGGGCATTTCTCCAACGATGGTGTTTTTCCACACAAGATTGTGATGAAGCTTCGCAGACTGGTAAGTGTGAGCTCAAAAATAAAGTGCCAAGCACAGGGAAGGCATTTGACAGCAATGGCATCCTCAAGGACTGCTCTCATAATTGCAGCTAATACACATTTTACTGCCACTGGTGCTGCTGAAAACAGTTTCGGCACAAGACCCACCTGAGGGCCCAGCGCCTGCCCCCGCGGACTCAGAGACTCCAGCGCCCGCCGCCGGCGCCGCCGACGCAGACAGTACAGCCCCCGCCCCCGCCGCCGCTGACGCCGACGCTGGGACTACAGCGGCTGCCGCCGCCGATGCTGAGAGTCCAGCGCCCGCCGCTGGAGACGCCGAGACTACGGCGGCCGCCGCCTCTGGAGAACCAGGTAGTGCCACTGAGCCGAGTGCAGGTGAAACAAAGGACCCGAATGCAACTGAAGCTAATGCGAATGGAAACGAAACTATCAAGCCAGGAGCGACCGAACAAATGACAACTGTTGAAGGACTCGACTCTGCAAGCGAGCCTGCGGAAACCACCATAGGAAGTGATGCGGAGAGTGAGACGACAGAGCCGCCAAGCACGCCATATGACATGGAAGAGCTGGAGGAGCTGGTAACTGAAAACGGCGGCCATCCATTTGAGAGGCCTAAGCGACATATGCCCGGCTCCCGACACGTTAAGGCCCACGACGGCTTCCACAACGTCAAGAACGAGAAGCTCTGGGCGCATTGGAACGATGGGTTCAATCATGATGCAGACACGATTGAGGGTCAATAAAACAGTCCTTCTCATTGTTTCAATCGTTCCTATAGCAGCTATATGATAGAGTAAGTCGAGTTTTATTGCGATATCGTAATGAAGGGAAAAGTTGTTGATACCTAAAGTAATTTTTGCCCTATCTGTAGGATACAGTGCATTCATTTTGCTAGAAGTTTAAAAAAAGCTAATAAATACAAAGTTTTTCAAGATTTCTTTATAAACACAAAAGTGCTACTAAGTGCAATTATTCCTCTGATCGAACTCATGACAGCTATACAAAATAATAGCGCTATAAGTAGTTGGTCATAAACTTTGTCTGCACATCAATAAAACTAATATATATACCAAGTTTGGCGTCCCTACCTATTACGATGTAAAAAATGTTGATGTTCATACGGACAGACAAGTCCAGATCGATTCGTCACGTCTTTCAGCTACTCTAGTTGTTGCTTTAATTTCAGACCCTCGCAGCCATGGCCAATTCATTTGCTTGTAGCTGTGTAGTTGAATGTAAAGCCATGCAGCTGGTGGTTGATTTGGTAAGACTGTTCGGCCACATATATACTAGTATATATACACAATATATAGTATTTATAGCTAATTATTTGTATGCTACCCACCATGCTGTTGGCACGGCTCAAGGAACCTCGCCACGTTGCTGCTCACGACGGCTTTCACAACATCAAGCACGAGCCTCGATGGGCGCATTGGAACGAACGCGTGAAGGCGCATCATCTCCGCAAAGAAAGGCAAAACAGAGAAGGCAGAACCTCTACTTGAGAGAACATCATACATAATCGGTTTCATATTATTTCTTGATAACAGTGTTAATAAATAGCATTGTAATCCAAAGAGTACTAGAATGTGTTGGGGGTTAAGGGAATCCGTCAAGGTTTTTATTGATGAAAGCATTGATCTTCTCTCTATACACATAGTAGAGCTTTGTGTTTATACCAAAAGTTAAGTTGTTAAGTTTCTAACTCATATTATATATAACAAGAGCTAGAATAACCAAACTTGTTATCCAGATTCACCAGATCAAGATTGTTAATTTTATCTGATGTGACTTATTTCTGTATTATGTAAAAAAATTAATTAAATTTTTTAAATTAGTTATTAAATAATACAAAATTAGTTTTTCTTATTTGTGGGAGTGGGTACAGGGTCGGGCTTGCTCAACTGTAGCGTTCTTCTCGTATGTATATTTAATTATTTATTTCAAATTTTATGTTACACTCAAAAGAGTATGAAATGGGGCAGATGAAATTTCGTCCCCCGACAATCACTGTTCTTGGAAAAACACAACACTAAGGACAATTCTGCGATTAGCCAACGGCAGAATCAATCTTCTGAGCAGATGTTGGCTTGATTAGAATGGCAAACAAATGTTTAAGCCACGAGGAGCAAAACGAAGAAATTGCTTATATTATAATCCTATTAGAATTAATTATAATAATAATAAAATGTAAATGTATGTATTTATTTATATGCATATGTATTCATGACAATGAATGTCCTTTTTGATGTTCCGGGAGCTCTCCAAATGAGAAAAATGAGAATGAAAAATATTATATTATTAATAAAATTAGTTATAATAATAATATTTATAATAATAATAATTATGGATGTCATTTTTGAAGTTCCAACAGCTTGCCAAATGAGCAAATGAAAATGGCAAACAAATGTTTAAGCAACGAGGAGCCAAACGAAGAAATTAAATGTGTTATAATAATAATACAATTTATAATAATAATAATGATAGATGTCCTTTTTCGTATATATTTTATTTCCTATCGGTAATTTGGTTTATGTAAGTATCTAATTTACATAAATAATAATTATATAATTATTAATTTATTAAATTTGTTTAAAAGAAAATAAAAATGACTTCAAATATATTTAAATGGAGCTTTTATTTGTTTGATGGGTAAGGGCGGTGAAGAAGGTGCTTGTAGGAAGCTGACTAATAAATAAAAAAAATGCAGCTTGGCCGATGGCCAAAACGCTTGCATTTGCTAAAAGCCAAAATCTGAAGTACCAGGCGAACATAAGCCAGCAGAAAGATGCAATTTTTCTAAAAATTTAAAATTAAATTCGGCCGCCTAAAAGATGCAACACTTTCCTTAATGTTAGCCGATCTTCACACCTTTTGGCAGCTGGGGCTCAAACCAATTTGGCAAATTGGCTTGAAGTCCGGCTGCTAAATGGTTTGAAGCCTGGCTTACATTTATTTTTAATTTTTTGAAAATCATCTTCCCGCTGCATTATGTTCGCCTAGTACATAGCAAAGAAGCCAGTTTGCAAAGTAAGACCGAGAGCAGCTGCGGCTTTCTTAAAATTTATAAAATCGCCTGCAAATGCTAAAAGCCAAAATCTGAAGTACCAGGCGAACATAAACCAGCAGCAAGATGAATTTTTTGTAAAAATTTAAAATTAAATTCGGCCGCCTAAAAGATGCTACACTTTTCTTAATGTTAGCCGATCTTCACACCTTTTAGCAGCTGGGGCTCAAACCAATTTGGCAAGAGTTCAAACGGAGTTCCAAGCGAATTATTTATTAAATAAATAAATAAGTTGCAGCGCTGCAATTTGTATCTAAATGAATGCAAATAAAAAAGGAGACTTTTTAGGACTTGCTGCTGATTTATGTTTGCCTGAATTTGAAGGATAAAGATCAGATCCTGCTTCCTGCAGCAAATCAATAATAAGGAAAAACGTTGCTATATTTTAAGTTGCTTTATTTGAAACTAAAAAAACTGCATAAAATATATGGTGACAGTTTAAAGGATAAATACAGTTCTTTTTAATTCTGAAATTAAATCAAGCAGCTCGCTGAGCCTGATACAAATGGCAGCACATTTGTCACAATTTAAAGGCCATTAGATGCACTCAAAAGAAGGCGCCAATGCTAAGCAAATGGTTGTATTGCACTGATATCAATCATACGCCCGGTTGCACGCCATTGAAGAACAGACGAGGCGTCGTCAATATTTTCCGTCCAAGCAGCCTCGTGGCCGCGACAGGACAGTTAACAGAAGCAGCAGGACAGCAACACCAACTGTTTATATATATAGATTTGTATACCCAAACTATCCAATCCAATCTATAGAGAAAAGAATCCAGAGGATAATACAGAAGAGAACACAGAGTAAAATACAGAAGATAATACAGAATAGGAACGAGAATAGAATAGAATACAGAATAGAATAGAAAATATATATAATAGCGAGTAGAAAACAGATTAGAGTAGAGAGTAGATTACAGAATATAATACATAATAGAATAGAGAATAGATTACAGGATATAATACAGAATAGAATACAGAGTAAAATACAGAATATAATACAGAATAGAAAAGAGAGTAGAGTACAGAATAGAATATAGAGTAGAATACAAATAGAATAGTATACTAATAGAATAGTATTATACTCTCTATTCTATTCTGTATAATACAAATAGAATAGTATTCTACTCTCTATTTTATTATGTATTCTATTCTGTATTAAATTCTGTATTCTATTCTGTATTTTACTGTCTATTTTATTTTGTATTCTATTTTGTATTCTACTTTATATTATACTCGTAGTTTACTCTCTACTCTATTCTGTATTCTACTCTCTCTCTCTTCCTTTATTTTTGTGCTAGCTTTATATAAAGAAGAAAGAAGTTTAGAATAATAACTTTTCATCTGGGATATTAAACAAACATAAAATAATTTTTTAAATATTCAAATTTGTATTTTCTTATTTGTTGGAGTGGGTACAGAGTATTTCACTGTCGGCTTGCTCGACTGTAGCGTTCTTTCTTCTTTTTACCTTCATATTATTGGCGTAACACCTACGATACTGTTTATATTCCAATGGCTTACAAGACCAATAAAATCTTCATGGCCTATCCTTCTTATGGTTTTGAAGTAATTTTGAATCGATTATACGAGTATAATCAAAATAGCTCTGCTTCGAATTCCATGGGATTTTGCGAACAAGCACCAATTTGTAAACTTAAACACATACTGTCTTAAGAATTGTGTATATTTTTAGTCAAAATGTAATCCCATTCTGTAAAAAGTATGCATTTTAAGAAAATATGAACACACCTAAATAGTTATGACCATTCACCAATCTATACTATGGGCTTAATTCTCTCGACTGCCTTTGAAGGCCTATTATCAAAATTGTTTAATTACCCACAATTCCAACTAATTCGTAAAAGGTTATATACTATAGTACTTTACATTATACATTCCCGTTAACAAAATTAATAATAGAGACATATTATTGCATATTTTGATCTTCAATAGAAGTTTCGCAAGAAATGTCACCAACAGTGTGTAGTGGAACCATATAACTAATAAATACTGTAGTAAGTCGGCGTAACAATACTGCCATTATGTATAGTTTATAGAAAGTGGTTTTCGTCGTATTTCAGAAATGGCTGTCAGGCGAGCGGTTCGTATAATCGGCTTGAAGTAAACATTTACAAAAATCTTAACTCTTCCCAGCAGTGTTTTGGCCTGTTTTGGGTTTTCTTAGGTCTTGCCCTCTGCCTAGAAGTAGAAGCGTCGGATAACACTCGGGACCTGAGACAACATTCGCCAAACGATCGCCCAAAGCATCAGCGGCCCCACAATATGCACCGTCCCAAATATAATGGCTACGATTGGTACAATCAGTAAGTGGTAAAGAGGGGCTAGTCACAAATAGTTGAATACTTTCTCCCCTCACAGCTACAATATGACGGAGAACTCAGAATCCGATAAGCCAGAAGAGACTGAAAAAGGGACTAAAGAAGAGGCTGAAAAAGATTCTAGAAACGAGAATTCATCGGGTGAAAAAGATCAGTATCATGAGAAGCATACAGAAGAGTCTGCTGAAAACGATGATGAAAAAGATGATAAGGATGAGGAAGGTGAGGACAGTAATAATGCTGAAGCTAAAGACAGTAGTAATGCCGAAGCTGAAGACAATCGACGTAGCCGACATATACGTAAATCTCATGACTCTAGGCCTCACCGCCGTCAACCTTACAGACGTAGCCAACACCAGCGTAGATCTCATAGCCCTAGCTCTCACCGTCGTCAATCTCACAGTCGTAGCCGATCAGAACATAAATCTCATAGCCGTATCAAATTTCCAAAATACAGAAACCAATTAATTTGAGGCATGAAATAGTTCAGTTGCTTAAATAAAAGGTATAAATACATCTTATAAATGGCACACCAAAGATTTAGTTATAGTGTCGGTAACTTTGTTAGCTGTATGGTGAGGTAAAATTTCCGGAGATATCTTAGGAACACGTATAAAAAATTCTACAACATACTGGTATATTATCTTTCTTTCTTCCTGGCTTCCTGCTTTATGACATTTTCTACTACATTATTGTTATATTTATTTATTAACTATCATTCGATCCCCACTACCAATAGAGTGCGATTGCTGCTGCTATTTCCATCTGTTTGGAAAAGTCAGCAGAGCTGGCGTTGCATTATACAATTATTTCTGATTTGTATAGAAATTAGTTTAAAAACGCCTTTACTATCATGATGCCACTTCATGCTATTTTTTAATAAGTGTGCAAATTTGTAGAAGGTATCAGCAGCATGTTATCTAATATTTAAGTAAACACAATTGATGAATGTTTCTTTCTAGGGAATTCGTCTACTTTCTGAGAAAACGAATACTAAAAATCTTTTTGTCGTTTTAAGATTCGGAGGTGCAGAAAACTTCAGTATTTTTGTTCATAAATCTGTTCACATTTCGCGAATGTTAAACTTTAGACGAACTTCACGGAAGATACACCCTGGGCTCTAATAGATCAGGGGTACAGTTTTTAATTTCCCCAAAAAAGCGAGT